TCTTCGCTGGTGCTATATCAGCGCTTGTGTTCATGACTGTACTCTCCGCGGCTTTCGGATGGGTGGCCACGGTCATACCGAGGGTATACACGCATTATATCAGTGCTGCCCTCTTCGCGATCTTCGGTCTGAAGATGCTGAGGGACGGGTGGAAGATGGACCCCAATGAAGGTCAAGAGGAATTAGAAGAGGTGCAGAGTGAGTTAAAGAGAAGGGAAGATCAGGTGCGTTTGTTTTTATGTTAATTTTTATTGCAATATAGGAGCCACGTCTAAAATAAAAAATGTCATTCGGTAAATTCATGTTTTGGTAGTGATGTTCCATAAATTATTTGTTATTTAAAACTATAGTGTTATCCGCTACGGAACAAACAGTAGTCAAAGACAGATAGACTTTTATCTATATGATAATGGTAGGTAGATGTCGATAACTATCGGATGATGCCAATGATATAAATAAAGTGTTGCTACCGCTGACAGAACCATTCAATGTTTTTGTTTATCTTTCAGTGTCTTGTATTGAACACCTGTACAAATCATATTGTTATCTCAGTTATTTTCAAAGAGAGTAAAAGAGATAGTGATAAGGCCTTATTCATCATTCCATCAGAACTTTTCAATGTTATCTTAACGTATTTTCGCAATACCACTTATGATTCGAATCTAATCAAGTCTGCAAAGAGTAGGTACATTTATTATAGCAAAAAATATTTTCCATCATACTTTTACTTTGTTGCGGTTTTTTACTAGTATTAGAAAATAACTAGTAATTAGGTTCCCTTCACTGACTAGATGAGGCATAGCTGTGCATTTCACGGTTTCAAGGTTCTTCCCCGTTTCGAAATAAAATGATTCGTGTTACATCTATTTTTAGTTTCAACATGACTGTGTACAAAAATTAAATAATAATTAAAAGTCGTAAAAATAAGGAGATAATATAATAGAATACAGAGATCTTTATAAGGCTATTATTACCAGAAGAAATAAATTTTATAATATTATTTTTAAGGGTTATTAATATTGTTTTATTCATAGAATCTAGAAAACTACATCTCAAAAATGTCGTAGTTTTACAAATGTTGAATTCCTTTATTTTTTTATTTTCTTTTTAATGTCCATACATCTTTTGTCTAGGCAACGTATTTACGTTTAATAAATCGTTCGAGATTTCGAGATACGTTTTCCAAATTAAAACACATCATGGGAATGATAATAGATTAATAATGTACAGGAGTCTACGAAAGAACGGTCGAGTTCGCCCGAAGGTACGGTGTCGGTCAAGTCGACACAGTCCGAAATCCCTGGGCCCTCGCGATCCCCTGTAGCGGAGGGTCCCGAGGCTCCCAGGGCCCCCGAGAGTCCAGAGGAACCCCAAGCGGGGCCCTCGACGCGTTCAGAACCGCTGAGGGTGATCTTACGTCATTATGCCTGGCAGTACGAATGACCACCTTAGTTTTCTTTTGTTAGCTTAGCCTTTATTTACGTTCCGTTTTACGCACAGACCATATCATATTTTTATTGAAAATCTTGCTTCTTTAGGCCTCCATGGTTAATTATTGATGTTAAAAGGAATTCAGCATTTGAATAGATCATCGCTTTTTATTTAAGCCCCATCAGTGTAAAAATATGAATTGTTTAAATCTCACTTAAAAAAAAATCGTCATTCGCTTATAAGGCCTGTTTTGCCGCAAATTAGTAATAAACAAAAAAATCAATTAATTTGACAGTAAAATAAATGAAACCGAAACCTTTTTTTTATAATTAGAAAAAGGTTTCCTATCATTGTGTCTAAGTAGCTTGTAATCTAAAATACCTGTTGTTTGGGTTGGCACGTCGGTAAAAAGAGAACTTTTGTTCCCGACGTGCCAAATGAAATACCGAGTACTCTACATTGTTATTAAGTGTCAAAATAGGCCTATTACTTCGTCTTGTACTTCAGTTTTTTTTTATATATTTTGCTGTAATGTTTTTATAACTGACTGGGCTTCACACAGTTGTACTGCCATTGAAATATTGAAACTTGTTTGCGATAGATTTTAGTCCCATAAACATTATCAACCATAATTCACCTGTACCTTGAGTCATCTGTGATAATTCTTGCTTTGTATGTACTTGAGTAATTACAATACCCATTTACAATGTTATTTCACGCTTAGCATGTAGATATGAGATACAATTGCATTTAGAAAATAGAAATATATTAACACATTCACTGCCACAGACTCAGAGTTCACTGCGTATAAAGTAGTGGCATTGAACGTGTTAAGAATGTATCTATAAGTCACAGTAGAATTTAACTTGTCAATTATAAAATCACTTTGACGTATTAATTACAATCTGAGTAATATTTTCCAGGACGAAAAAGAAGAAACTCTAGATATGTTAGAGCAGGGTCAAGCGGAGAACAGAAGGAGAAAGAGGAATGCGATAATAAAGGTGCTGTTGCAAGCTGCATCGCTGACATTCCTTGCGGAGTGGGGCGACAGGTCCCAGCTGGCGACTGTCGTGCTGGCGACAAGAGAGAACGCGGTAGGAGTTGTGGTGGGTGGGTCGCTGGGACACGCGCTGTGCACTGGCCTGGCAGTGATAGGGGGGAGAATGGTGGCGCAGAAGATCTCAGTAAGAACTGGTGAGTTTACCCTATATTTATGTCTAGGTTTACAACTTTCGTGATATTAAGGTTTTTACGATATTTTACTAATGTTGTTGTAAGCTGCCTGTGTTTTCTTAATGTGTTTTTTTTCTTTTTTAGTTACAATAATTGGAGGCATAGTGTTTCTGTTCTTCGCGGTGAGTGCTTTAATTATCGGCCCCGGTGAATAGATGGACAACTAAATGTATATTTATTTTATTTTTAAGTGAATTTTTGTTTTAATGTACTGTGTTTTAAAAAAATTCAACTTACCTTTATTTGGAATTTATGATGTTCATAACGACAGATGATATCAGATTTTGAATCTTCTACATAAATTATTTAACTGACAAAAAATCGTAGAATATTCTCGAATCTTTAACATTTTTAGAATGAAATTCACAGATGAAAGATTTTTTAAAGTCCGCCGAGTAGTTTTTCCGTGAATCATATACATGCAAAAATCCAAATATACAAGTCTTTCCTCTTTATAATATTAGTATAGATATAAAATTACTCACATATAAATGTTATTTTTTAATAATCGGCAGTAACACATTAAATATTAAAATAATTATGAGATTTGTATCATGGTTATAAAGTGTATAGATGTATTATTTGTATGAGTGTTGTAAAAAAAACAATGTTTTGTATTGATATTAAGACTCATTCATTCAAGTCCAAAACTCGATGTCTAAAATTTCTGTTGGCTCTTAGACTACATTTCAATTTTTTTCAATTAAAAATTCACACCGTCAATTAAAATACGACTGAAACTGTACAGATATAATGACAAATATAAAATAATATGCCAAATACAAATTAAATAAATAAAATGTGACAATGGTTTCGTAAACCATATAAATTATTAGACAAAGTATTTTTTACTAAGAGCCTGTCACACCACTAGCTGATAGAGATTTAGATAGCGCAGTGACGTCACTGTTGGATTGTTATCTGAATTTACACGAATTGTGGGACAGGCCCTAAATATAGCAATTGAAGGTTATACACGCTATTAGCTGACTGTACTTTTGTCCTTCAAGTTCAAAAGGTTATACTGAACACGTCAAGGTCAAACTCCTTAAATATTAACGTTTATTTAACTATAATTTCTTGGCTTATCTCAGCCATCTAAATAATTATTTTCGTCATGAGGCAATAAAGTTAGCTGGCAATATTGTAAGTGCCTTGCGTTCTTTGAATTTATACGTATCTTGATGTTTACCTATGAATAATAGCTTGAGTTGGCACGTCGTACTAAAGAAAGTTCTTATGCCCGACGTGCCAAATTCAAATTAGGGTTATAATTTTAGCGTAGCTTCTCTAGAAATTGTGATATGCATAAGAAATTTCTAGAAGATTTCATTCGTATTTGAAACGTAAAGTCTTTTCGTTGATTTGAAACAACAGAATTCGAGTTCTGGAAAATTCAGGGCACGATAATTTTTTTTTTTAATTTTAAAAAGGAGTGTTTAAATTGGTCTTTTAACAATAATTCACTTTACCACCATATCTTCAAAAAAAACACATTTTTAACATAATCTACATAAGTCACCTTCTTACTAAATAATTAAAATGCTTTTAAAACTTTGTACTTTTATGTCTGTGATCTTATTGTACATTATTTCAATAGATTTAGTAATGCAATGTTTTAAAACGTAACAGAATAGCATCGAGACGTTAACGTGCGTTTTCACTGACGAAAAGTCTGTACAAAAATGATTATCTCCGTATTAAAGAATTGAGATTTTTAATACTGGTTTCGTCAGTGGAAACCCACGGTTTGTTTAGTTGATAATCTTAAGTTTCTTTATGATTAGCAAATTATCGTAATAAAACGATTTTAAACCAGTTTAGTTCTGATGTTCATACATAAAGTTGCATTTCGATTGATTGAATCACTAAGGGAGTCCTTTATTAGATATTATAGATAATTCTACATTAATTGATTGCTTAGGTAACCATTAGGCGATTGTGATAGCTGTTAGTGTCTATGTTGTGTTAATTGTTACGTTCTATACTTTATAGGCATTACATTTTTAATTTTCCCCAAAACATAAAGAGTACTTCCGAAATAGCGACATTATAAAAAAATAAATAATAAATTTGTTATTTTACCCACTTTACATTATTCCAGTCCAGTGGTCATATCCTGTTATAGATAAGAACTAGCAAAAATACTTACTGGAATGCTTTGTATATCATTGTGCATTTTCATATTTTCGTGTTATAATCCAGCACTGGATTCGATCGTTGGACTGTAACAATGTAAACTAGACAATACAAATGTTACGTCTTGAGTTGATATTATTTCTCTTTAAAAATTTATAAAATTGCAATAAATGTATGTAATATTAATGTTGATTATTGTTATTGATGCTAGAATAACAGTTAATTGAAAATAAAAATGCAGAAATATATTTAGCATAATCTGTAGAATTTTGTAAACATATGTAAAAATATTGTGATATGTATTATATTTTTGTATTGAACTACAAGGAACTGGAATCGTTGAAAATAAATACTAGAATAGCTTTCCAAGTACATATGTAAAAAAAACTTGTTGTGATTTTCTACCATTATTTAATGACAGTAGGAAATGGTAAGAATTTAACTGGCAACACTCAGAATACGCTAATGTAAAAATGTACAAAAATTATTAACAAGTTCCCTGGATATATCTTTGTTTATTTTTGTAAGTACAACAATTGTCTTCTCAAATATTTCATCCGAAATACTTGGTGTGGATGATAGTATTATTTTATGTAAAAATCCTAATAAAAATATGTAAATGATTGTAAATATATGTAAGTTTTATTAATATCCTTCCTTATTGAAACCATAAATCACGCAGATTCGTATTTTTAAACCACACTTGCAAATCTTAAAGTTCGACTAAATTGACACTTGATACTTAATCTTTTTTGAGACAATTTGGCGTTTTTGAGACAATTTACGTTGGCTATAAAACCGATAGAAACATACGCATTTCCCGATGTGCCACTTTTAAGCATAATGACGCACAGAAAGAGGACATCTTCCCTTACCCTGTCAAACCTTCACCTTTTCCATCCCTTCAATATAAGGGGGAAGCTAAAAGAAAAATAATTAATTCTAGAATTATTTGTAATTATTAGTATAGTAATTATTTGTCGCTATGCTAAATTATTCAAGAGATATTTCGATTAACATTCAAAAAAACCTTAATAGATTTTTTATCTATAAAAAATAATGACATTACGATAAGCTTATTTAATCTGTCTTCTTTAATCAGACTTTATTTAATCCTCTTCATTATCGTTTTTAAAATGTTATTTATAAGTCACGTAACATCGATGATTGATCGGTTTTTAAACGATTTTAGCACATGTTACCTAAAGACAATTATCTAAAGCTGGTAACACCAGCCGCGATAATAGCAAATTTCCTGTTTAAATACATACCAGGGTTTCAGCAATCGGCGCCCCCTACTGTACAAATCCACAAAAATGGCGCCCATTTACGTCCGGCGCCCTGGGAGTTCCCAACCTTGCCCTACACTAATATGGATACTGCATATATCTGAAGTGTAGGTAGGGAATAAACCCACTCAAAAAGAAATAATTCTTTTATTTTAATATACTGAGCGTAACATATTTTGTCATTTTATGATGATATCTATTGTAAGTCAAATAAAAAATAAACCTTAAAAAAAAAGAAAACATAATAATATCACATGAGTAGACAAACGGTGTAGAGAAAAAAATCTTTAAAAAGATCAATATTGTTACCTATTTTGATAGGGTTGTCGCAATAGGTTAAGTTTGTTGTTTTTTTTTTGTGGTGTGTTACCCTTTACATAGTTATGCAAAATTGCCATTAATTAAAAGTGAGCCGCGTACCCTATTTTGTCCACTGGCTATGCCGTGTAAACCGGTTTTTACCAGTATCGGTGCGTTTTTCAGCCAGTGGTCACAAGCTCTACCGTTTTTATACTTATGTGACAATACACTTCGTTAAAACTTAACAATTATTAAAATTTGTAATGTAATTTATACTTAAAAATAAACGATAATCACAAGTTTCTTAATAGAGATCTATAAAATCTTGATTACAAATAAAATGACAAGAAAAAAGGTATCCAAGATACGAAATAAAAAATAGACATTCTATGTCACTTTTAACAATTTCTGATTCAAGTCTTACAAATACCACTAAAATACTATAACCTAAAAATATAATAATTTTATTACACAAATAAAGAAAATTTGATCTTAAAATGATTGTATCTATAAAACCCTGTATTAAAAAAATAAAAATAAAACTATTCACTACTAAATCAAGACAAAATCACAGCGAAATTGAAAAATTAACCTAAAAAAACGACATCTTGGTATTTTTTTTTTGATTTCTTGGTTTCAGTAGTGATTTTCCCTCGTCTAGTCAACGGTGTTTTAAGTGAGGTAGACAGATATATAATCGTCGCAGGCGTCCAGCACCGCTTGTTGCAGGGTGCGGTCTCTGGCGCGCAGAGCCGCCGTGTGGCTCGGCAGGAATAAGCACATGCGGCCGCTGTCACCCCACGAATGGTTCTCTGTACCTATAATAAATACTTATAATACCTTTTGACTTGATTTATGAAGAACTTTCAACTTTGAATGCGGCGTGGAATAAAAAAAAGTAGTCTATGTTCTTCCAGACTATGTTTTACTCTATGCCTTTCATTGAAATCCGTTCAGCAGTTTACATAGCCTCTAACAAACATCCATCTAAACTTTCGCATTTATAATAGTAAGACGAAGAAAAACCTTTTTGCTGTTTCGTGATAGGCAGACATTTAATAGAAATTGCAATTTCACGTTTTTTTGACACAAAAAAAACAATCTAACTAATATTATAAATGCGTAAGTTGAGATAGATGTTTGTAGCTTAAACTGCTGAAAAAATCTCGATGAAATTTAGCATAAATGTATGAATGAATGAAGTATAGTAGAACACACAGGCTACTTTTGTTTTTTTTTTTTTTAATTCCACTCGGACGGAAGCTAGTATATAAATAAATGTGTATCGCTGTGAGCTGTGAGATACCGACCGTAGTACTTGAGCGGCCATTGGTGGTGCGTGTGCGAGCGGGACAGCAGGCAGGCGGGCACGGCGCCCGGCGCCAGCACGCGCGCCGGCCACCACGCGCACGCGCCCAGCTTGTGCCACACCACGTCCTCGTAACTACGCACAGCATACCTTACTGACACCGACACTCCCTTTAGAGCGCACACCTTTCATTAAACTATCGCACAACCTTTGTGCGACTGTCGATTGTTTCGCAGCCAACTAACTGTTTAGTCGCACAACTAAAAATCGAGTAGTGTGCGCACCTCTATATAAGTTCATTGGAATCGAAGCGCAACTAAACAGTTTTGAGATACTTTAGTTAAAGATGTGCGCACGTTGTTACTCTGACCAAACTTAAGAAAATCATCTGCTTTTAATTTTTTTTTAATAAAACCAGATACAATTTCACTATAGAGATGTTGACAGTAAAAAAAAACACTAAAACATGTTATTAGTGTTCTAAATTTTTATACTAGATGGCGTTCATTTTAATTCCATCTTCAGATAATGTAGAGAAGTCAAAATGAATCATAACAATGACAATTGAACACAATTTCACAAATGAACGTTGTTTGCGCCAATACGCCTTCCAAATATTAATAGCAATGTGCATTAACGTAAAAATAAGCAATGAAGTGAAGTTGTCTATTTTATGACCTTGAATTGACATTATTGTTTCTTTCATATTTTGTCCAATTAAACGCATTGACACCATATCTGAATTTTCATATTATATACAACAATCAACTATTGCGATGAATAGACCATTAAAAACTTACAAAATAATATTCTCTGTAAAGTTATATGCAAATACTTACAGAATACACCTAAAAAAGAACATTTTTTCATTGGAAAACATATTAAAACGTGTATCGTTACCCGACTTTAGGTCCCCACATGCAACTGGGGCACAGCTCCACATTCTCCTTCTCTTTCTTCACAGTGCATATAGTGCGGGTACTCGATAGTATTTTATCCACAAAAGTCACTTGCTTCTGGGTTTTACTTGGTAGTTTCTTACGGTCTAAAAAATAATTAAAAAAACACAATAGATGCACTTCACTGGAAAAAAAAGTCCAACATAGCCTCATAATATCTTTTGTATATTTACACAACTAAAGAAAACGGCTAAATCAATTAAATAAGTGAAATTTTAAACACTCTACAAATGCTCAATAAATTTTTTATAGAACTTATTGAGGAAAATTAGTTCCCTTAATTTGTTAAGATAAAATTAAATGGGTCGATTGTTATAATAATAGTACAATAACTTACGTATAATAGTGACCAGCCATTCTCTGCGGCAAGCGAGGTGGAAGGAGGAGGGACAGTTAGGGCAGAGACGCAGGCGGTCTCCCTGCCCGCACACCAGGCACCACGGTATGTGCAGAGTTATAGGCATCTTCTCTGGTGATATTGATTTCTGCAAAATAAATTCAATGTTACATCAAGGTATAAATTACTTAATGAAAATAACAAAATAATATATTTTATTCGATGTTTTCTGATTTTTACAATGCTACCAAAACAATAAAAGTTATGTAGACTGGCAACAATGATGAACAAAGAATTAACCAACAGTGGCAACATTATACTTTTTCATAATGTTGCCATTATAATACTTCAATATTTCTTTAAAATATAAAAACACATTTTACAAAAAAAAATATAAACAGTATTTCATTTTACTTTATTCTCAATTTAATAAGTATGTAACAAAAAAGCAATTGCTGGTTAAATAGTTATCCAGCATTTAAGGTAAATTACTTACATTATTGTCAATATTTTCTTTGTTTTCAGTTTGTTTGTGTACAAGATTATACCTCCAGCACTGATGCAAATAATTCTCAATTTCTTTCTCGGATACCGATTTTTTTATTACCATTTCAAATTTATCTTCTGTACTTGCATCTATATTTTTAACATAATACAAGCATTCCTCATTTTCCTTATTATCTTGTAGTTGTGAATAAAATTCATCAAAAAGCATCTCTTTTCCTCGCCTCACAAACTCTTTGAAAGCATTTTCATATTTTCCTTGTTTTAATGGAACATGCGTTATGTCATATGTGATATTTAAGTCTGGTTCTCTTGATTGTAATGGCTTTACACTCAATGGTAATGTGTGATCTTCTTTGATTTTTCTCTGAAATGGCAACATTAACTAGTAAATAGTAGTGAAAAACATATTTCTTTAGGCTTATAAGAGTACTTTGTGTAAATAATTTTTTATGTGTCCATTGGTAAAGCAATTCATAGAGCGCATAAATTGATTTTTATTTATAGGAATGGATGGATAAATGTTATATACAAATGTATCAATTGCAAATTACAACAATAGACCAACCATATGTGGATTATAATTTGGATTTTCAATTTAGTCTTTTTAATTTTAATTAAAAAATATAAGTGTAAAACTATACCTTCCTAGGGACTGCAGGAGGCTTGACTTTGATTGGTACAGGCATTTTTTCAGATGGTCCATAAAATGGTCTGGATCTTTCAGCCAAATGTAAACATGTGTATGGAAGCCACATTTTATTTCTCGTACGAATTGTCTCCACATAGTAACATAGTTCTGTTGTTACATTTATACCATCTTCACTTGGGGATATTGCTAGAACTGTATCCAAACAAAAACAAATTAATAATTAGAAAATAATAATATTCGGAGTCCTTCTGTAGTCTTCCGATTTTAGAATCTTAAGATAAAAAAGCTTAAGTACTTCTTCTTACAGAAGGTACAATAATGATTTTATAACACAACTGTTGTTTTTTTTTTCTATACAATGGGCATTCGTTTATAACTATGTAATTAAACAAACAAAACAAAATTAACTTTATTTCTGTACCACATGCAGTAACATTAAGATTGTCTAATTTTTTTCGAATTTCAATTTACAAGTGAAGTCAATTAATCTTAAAGTTATAAAGGAAGTAATTAAAGATATAATTATGTTAGACCAAACCTTTATCATCGAAAAATAATCCCTTTTCATCTTTGATTACTTGAACTTTGGCATACACCTTTTTGCAAATGCGAGCAAGTGCAATATCACCTAATTTCCAGTGTAGAATACTCATTATTTAACATGCATATATTCAGGTTACTTGATAACTAACAATTATGTGTAAAAGTTTATAAAATTATTATCTAAAATATGGATTTTGTATTTTCTAAATTTATTACAGCCATCTAAATTGTAAAGGAAATTTATCATTAGTCAAATAAGCTTTTAAAATACCATTATCTAATAATGGTTAATTTATAAATGAAAACTAGCAAGAATTAAAGTAATAAAAATTAAAATCATCTAAAAAAACTCATATTTATGTTTAGGAAACGAATATTTTTTGAAGAAAAGATCAAATGAAGACATTAACTGGCATTAGTTAAACCAGTGGTGCCCTCTGTTGCCGAGTAGAAATAACCAACTCTGAGTCGAGTTATCTATCGTTGAGTAGTAGAACTAAATTTCCTGTTAGCAGATTAGTTTCAGATAATAGGTGGCAGCACTAACACATTTTTGACCTAAATATTTTTCATGTATATTATATTGTTCGCAAAAAACAAAGCAAATAGTCAAATAGTTACAAAGGTAACAACGTAAATAACTTAATCCAAAAGTTAATCATTAAACTAATATCAATATAATTACAAGGTCTTCCATAATACATGGCTATTTTTTTACAGTACATTGTTTAATAAAAATCTTAAAGGAAATAGAAACAAAACATTAAAATTAAGATTTTAACATACAGAATATTATTCATAATTTAGTAAAATTCTCGTTCACTTCTCTTATTTATTCCACATTTAAATGCTAAGATTGATTACCACTTACTATAACACAAAATACGTAATAAAATGTTTCATATCTAAAATGTCGTGATTTTTAATACATCGTTATCATTCACCCTATTATCAATATATTTCATAACAAGCATATCTTGAATAGTTAAGATGTCGGCTCACGATTGGTTCATCTCGCTACGATGGGCGTTATACAGCATCCAATGGACGGCAGATTTCGTATCTTGTTTTGAGATGGGGGAACGATTGTCAAATGATGACGTCACTACGTCAGTACTTTATATAATGTACAGAATATACCTAGATGGTAATCTTGTAGTGTAGTCTAAAATTACTTGATTATACGCAGATTTAATTCTAATAGATACGTGCTATAGAAATATTAATATATATCGAGAATTAAAAAAAATATGTCATGAAATAAGCCTTTCGTTGTCTCGAAGCTTCCAATTAATGAAATTCATTGCTAACTTAAGGCAATTTTATACGATTGTTTTTCACAGAAAAAAGCTACAATTTGAAGTTAGTAACTATACATTTTAATTTAAAGTAACATTAGCATAATATGTAACGACGTTCAGATGGCTCAGTTGATTTAATTTTTACAGTCGAGGAATTTTATTTCCTACCCATTTCGGAAAAATGTACTTTGACATTCATCAATTACGTCGAAAATTTGTCATATCAACTTACGTGATAAGTTATATCTGTGACATTGTTTGTATTGCACAATTTACGTACGTAAATCCAATTTCAAGTGGTAAGGGAATTTAATTCCCTGACTGCCGGTCAAGGTGTGTTCATGTCGCAGTGAAAGTGTTAACAGATGCGCCCTGTTATTGCCTACTGACTTTCACTCAGTTAAAGACACATTTAAGTTGCAAATTCAATCGCAATAACTGACATAAATTAAAACTAAAAATTGTACTTTTTATGACATTTGGAAAAGTAAACGAAATCGTAATTAATGACTGTTTTAATAGTTAAATATATACAAATATTATAAAGAGGAAAGATATGCATTTTTGGATTTTTGTATGTATTTGATTCACGCAAAAACTACTGGGACGATTTCAAAAATTCTGTCACCATTAGAAAGGTAATTTATCTGTGAGTAATCTAACTAGCATAGGTAATATTATAAATGCGAAAGTTTAGATGGAAGGATGTTTGTTAGTTTGTAGCCTCAATGGCTGGACGGATTTTGATGATATTTGGTACAGATGTAGAGGATAATCTGGAAGTACACATAAGCTATCACTTTCTTTTAAATTCCACGCGGACGGAGTCGCCGGCGTAAGCTAGCAATTAAATAAACTGGGATATTTCTTTGTAAATTTACGATGACTGTTCCATCATAATTACATCAAGTACTGCAATCTAATTTATTTCAATTCATAAATTGACGAAGGTTTTGTAGCAAAAAACACATGTTAGTAACGTTCTAAAATGAAAATCTGACATATTTCTCTCTAAACTAGTTCAGAAGGTTTTTTTTTTATTCTTACGTCACACCGGACACTTGAATTAAGTGATACGGTTTCTATAGTATTGTAACGGTATAATTCGGTAACGCTTATAAATGTAACAATATCTAGTTTTTTTCCTTCTTAAAATGTCAATTTAAATGGCTAAAGATACCGTTTTTATAAAAGACAATGCAGAGTGAGTCTGGAACACAATCGAAGTGTTTTTACCGGTCGTAGCTCGTGCCATGCTGACGTCCGGTACAGTCGGGAACAAAACACATTTCAATAATTAATTTATTACTATGAGTTTGTAATTACCTCTTGAATAATGTTTATTTTTTTTAAAGTTAGTAAATATAGGTAGTAAAATAAGAGAGTTCTCTCTCTCTCTCTCTCTCTCTCTCTCTCTCTCTCTCGTAGTAACCTACAGTTATATCTTATTTAGTGAATGTGTACGCAAGATTAGAAGGTAATTGTTCCAAATTTAATACATCATATTGGTACTTATTTTGTTATCAATCTATACTAATATTATAAAGAGGAAAGATTTGTATTTTTGTATGTATTGAAATAACTCAAAAACTACTGGGCCGATTTCAAAAATTCTTTCACTATTAAAAAGCTACTTTATCAGTGAGTAACATAGGCTGTGTTTTTACTATTCTAATTTCACGCGAGCGTCGCAGGCAAAAGCTAGTTTAGTATATTTATACAACAAAATTGATTAAGGGGTAACGTTTTCGTGCACGACGATACATCTATTGTCAGCATCTGTCGTAATTTTTTATTGTTTCGATCGATTCCTACTTTTTTGTGCTCGCGTTGTTTGAAGGGAGCGCCTCAGATGAACATCAAAATTATCTTTTATATGAACACTAGCTTTCGCCCGCGACTCCGTCCGCGCGGTATTAAAAAAAAGCAAGTAGACTATGTGTTCATATGTTGTTCATCCAGACTATCCTCTACATCGATGCCAAATTTAAGAGAAATCCGTACAACCGTAGGCTACAAACTCTAACAAACATCCATACATCTAAACTTTCGTATCTATAATACTAGTATGATAAAACCTATGTCTCTCTTCTCTTCTTTTACGCCTTTAATTCAAATAATAAAATAAAATAGAGTTTATGTGGTTAAGATTTTATTTATTAAGTTAACATTGTTTAATTTGAAGCAGGGAGAGTATGAGAAAGCGTTTATCTCTGTATATTTACTAAATAGCTGTTCTCGTGCGATTTCATCCGTATAAAATGATAAAAAATTTGATTTTATTGTTTACTTTTGTCAAATTATTAATTGCAAATGTCAAAATGACATGACATGTCAAATGGCAATCCTGCTTTCTTGATGTTGGCAGCAACTTATGGTCTCTTTCCCACATTAGGATTTGTATCCAAAATATTTACCCCCTAAGTTTAATGGCGTGAAAATATATAGCCTAAAGTGTGACGTAAGTGTAGGGCTTTTTATTAAAAAAAGAATTATTCAAAAATATGCTGTAATTGCTGACATTTTAGGCAACAGAGAAATGTGTGTTTACGCTTTATTATAATATTTACAGCTAGTAAAATAATTAATAAAAGATTCTGTTATAAATTACTTCTTTTATTTTCTTTAATTATAGTATTATTATAAAAAGGGAAGAATTGTATTTTTGTACGTACTTGATTCACATTCACTTGATATTGCATTATTATTTTTTAATTTCACGCGGACGAAGTCGGGAGCAACAGCTATTGGTAATTAAATTTTCCTGACCATGTCTAATACAGAAGAGGATGTCCTCTTCAAAATAAATATAAAAAGTATATTTGTAAAAGTCAACAGGATGCGGCGGATTGAAAGCTTTTGTCGTTTGACTTATTCAATAGTCAATTAGTGATGTTTTTTTATTCGTTTAATTTAGTAACAGAGAGTTTTAGTTCAATAGATTTTAAAGTATAGTGAAAATTGTCAATATTCAGTCTTAATAATCTTACTAATATTATATAATATTATAAATGCGAAAGTTCAGATGGATGGATAGATGTTTGTTAGAGTTTGCAGCCTAAACGGCTGAACAGATTTCGATGAAATTTTGGTATAAACGTAGAGGATAGCCAGGAAGAACACATAGGCTACTCACTTTTTTTTAACTCTATGCGGACGGAGTCGCAGGCGAAAGCTAGTCTTACATATAAATGCGAAAGTTTGGATGGATGGACGTTTGTTAGAGTTTGTAGTGTAAACTGCTGAATAGATTTCGATTTGGCGTAGATTTGACCATTGTCTGGAAGAACACATAGTCTTTTTTCACACGGACGGAGTCATGAGCAAAACTTAGTATTGAAATAAATCCAATAATAATCGAATAATAGTAAAGTCGTAGTATAAAATTAATTTGTTAAATGAGTTACGCGTGTAAACCAAACAGGTGATTTACAAACAGCGGTACACAAAGACGGTTTAATGAGAAAAAAACAATTGAATGGTATTTACATGAATGTTCATTGATCGACGAGATCGATAACTTACGTAATTATTGCACAATTATTATAGTTAACATGTAACTTACATGCATAAGGCGGTGCCACACTAACAAAATCGCAACGTAGGGAATGTTTTAGCTACTTCTCGGTAATAGATTTTTGGTAAATTACGTTTTTTTATTACTGCAGCTTCAAATTACCACTAGCGTTTTTGGGGGGATAATGGTAATAAATTTTAAAATATTACTAATTTTAGTAATCATATCATACTTCATACTAATATTATAAATGCGAAAGTTTAGATGGATGGATGGATGTTTTTTTGAGTTTGTACCCTAAACGGCGGAACGGATTACGATGAAATTTGGTACAGATGTGTAGCATAGTCTGGAAGAAGACATAGGCTACTAATTTATGTCTTTTTT